CCTTACCTAAAAGTGTTGCATTCCCAACAGTATATTTGAGACCTTTCTCTGTTTATCAGTAAATAGCTAGTAGGCAAGTCTAAGTTATTGAGAATCCAAATCACTAAGCATCATCAAAAACAAAACTAAATTCTCAATTTTACTTTAAATTATATTCTGCTTAGTTTATAGCTAGATTGTATAATGTATGGTGCACATTAACTAATAATTAATTATAAAAATTAGAAATGAATCTGCTTCCTCTAAGAGGAAAAGCAAACAATAGGAAATGTTTGGAGAAATGATTGTGACAAAAGGTCATAGAGAGCTACTACACAGAAAGCTGTGAGACAATTAGATAACCATGGTGACAGAAATGAAAAGAAAAAAAAAACCTATGGTAAAGTTAAGTGTAGGAGCAAATCACTCATAAAATGTTAAAGATGGAAGAGAAACAAATAAGACCTTCCTGCTTAGGGACACCAGCTGGCAGGAAAACAAAGTCCAAACTGTACTTCAGATTATACAGTATGAGAGGGTGCTGTATACAAGGGGACTGACTACCTGCACTAAGTACCTCTCTAACATGGTCTAACGTCCACATGAGATAATGAACAACGTATCTGATTACCTTTACCAGACTCCCCGCATACAATAAAATAAGTAAAATGCTACTGTGAGAATACAAACATTATTAAATGAGCCTGTTTTCTACAGAAGGAGACACATGGTAAAAACAGAATTTGGTGACTGGTGGGGCTTTGTAAGTGTATTGGATTCCACCTCTCCCCTATGTCATTATTTCAGGACATTTTACCAGCTCCTATTTACTAGAATAGAGGAAACAGCAGACAGAGCAATGGTACGTCAAGATCCAGGGAATGCTGAAATATATTTTCAGATTATAATATGAAATTTAGGCAAAAAGAGACCTCAGAAGAAACAGAAACATGGAGAACTATAGACGAAGTAGCCTGAGAATAAAGCATATAGATAGAAGAAGATAAATATCAGAACATAATGAATCCAAGCCTGCTGCTACAGAGAGAGGACCAAGAAGTGAGTGACCAGCCAGCTGGCAGGACATCCTCTCTCCAGGAGCTCCATACTGGGACAAAACCCTGGGCCCCTCCCACACCTGCCTCTGCTTCATTAGCCAGTAGACAGGAGAGGTTCCTGCAAGTAGGCTTCTCCATGATCCCCACCCTGACCATCAGATCCTGTAAGCTACAAATCCCACCCTGCCCCCAAACTGCCATATCCCCCATGCAACCTCAGTGGAAAGGTGAAACACAGCCTGCTACTATACAGAAGCAATCAGGTGAGTGACAGCCACCCAGAAGGACACCAAACTATCTAGGCTCTCCAAACCAGGGCAAATCCCTGGAAGCCTCTGCCACCTACCTCAGTTTTTCTTGCCAGCCAGCAGGACAGTTTTCTACAGGTAGGCTTCACAAATACCCCTGCAACACAGACAGTGACAGTACAGAACAGACAAAGAACAGTTTCCAAGACACAAACAGCCACTGTAAGAATTAGACCAATACGTAAAGTAAATAACGGCATCAATTGAAGGAAGAGATGGGTAGGTGCCAATGCAAGAATTCATCCAACAGCCTAGAAATCAACATGGTAACACCAGAACCCAGTAGCCATATATCAGGAAGACTAAGATCAACCTACCCCTGAAGAAGCAAAATAAAATGATTTTAAACATATCTATACACAATAAAAGCAATAGACAACAAGCAGATAGTCAATATCAAATTAATGGAGAGAAACTCAAAGCGATTCCACTAAAATCAGAAACAAGACATGGCTGTCCACTCTCTTCATAACTATTCAACATAGTTCTTGAAGTTCTGGCTAGAGCAATAATTCATCATCAACAACAACAAAAAGAACAAGGGGATTCAAATTGGAAAGAAAGAAGTCAAACTTTTGCTATTTGCAGGTGATATGATAGTTTACATAAGTGACCCCAAAACTTTACTAGGGGACTTCTACAGCTGATAAATACCTTCAGTAATGTGGGGGGGGGATCCAAGATCAACTCAGAAAAATCAGTAGCCCTCCTATATACAAATGATGAAGAAGCTGAGAAAGAAACCAGAGAAACATCACCCTTCATAATAGCCACAAATAACATAAAATATCTTGGGGGTATCCCTAAACAAAGAAGTGAAAGACATATTTGAGAAAGCCTTTGAAGAAATTGAAAAAGATACCAGAAAATGAGAAGAATTCCCATGCTCTTGGATAGTTACGATCAGCATAATAAAAATGGCAATCCTACCAAACGCCATCTAGAGATTCAATGCAATCCCCATCAAAATCCCAACACAGTTCAAGTGCTCTGCAATTCAGTTTCCCTGCTACAGTAACCAGTGAGATGACATTTCAGATACAGAGATGACTTCTAGCTCTAATAATACTCAAGGTTTTACATTTTGTATATTACCTACTGGAAAAGACAGATAATGTGTTGTGGGATTCTGTGTAAGGGCCAAATTGGGGAAGTCCGCAATGTTACATATGTCTTCAAGTCTTGCTGCTGCAGTAGAAAGCAGCTCATGAGAAGCCTCTGCCATCTCCACTCAGGAGTGGTGACTGAGCATCATGTAGAAGGGCACAAAGAACAATTTAAACCTTGAAAAGACTACAAAATAACACACTGACCTTTCTATTTTTAACTTGGATTCCTACCATCCTGCCAAAAGACAGTTTCTAATGCAGTTTTAAATTGGATACCCATCCGCCCACCCACCAAACTCTAAGCCAGTGCTTTGTTTACTGCAAGAAAAAAGTGTACAGAATATTTAGGATGCTGAGTATTTCATAGGAGAGCCGGAAAGTGCTGTAAAGACTCCTTTTAATTGTTTAACACCACCAAATAAATGAAATTAGGAGGATTTCCGGGGACAGAGTTGGGACTGTTGTATGATAAACCACATGTCATCTAATCTTTCTGCGGAGAGACAGTGGTTACACATTTTAAAATGTCTGGGTACACTATTACTTCTCATGACAATTTGTCATAATTCAGTAGCATGACCTTCCCCTAGAAATAGGAAATATTTTGAAATGCTACAGCATTACCGGAGTTCTGATGACTCATATCTGTCCTACTCTTTATTGTAATTCGCACTGAAAATCAGCATTGAAACTACTCTACAAATTAACGTTAAATAAAAAGAGGAAGCATTTACGATAACTGTACCTTTTTTTCTTTTTTATTGTTTTTTTTTGAGCTATACATTTTTCTCCATTCCCCTGACTTTTCTTGTACTTTTTTAATACTTTTTATACTGTTGTATATTTATAATCAAGCTTTTACTCTAGGGTCTTATTAGAAAAAATAAAATCAGCAACCTTGGTAGTTGATGCAAATGTAGTATGCTAAATTCTGAGATAGCCTGAGAAAAAGCAGGAGATATTATTTAATAGTAAAAGTAGATGAGGTTTCTCATCTGCATTGTAGCATTAAGTTAGTTTGTACCACTCACATTTATTTTTACATGTATGCCTGTGTGTGAATGTTTTCCTTGCATGTATATGCTCTACATGCATGCTTGGTGCTGAGGTCAGAAGGTATTGGGTCCCCTGGAATTTTAGATTCAAAAGGATGTGATCCCCCTTATGAAGCTGGGAACCAACCCAAGTGTCCTTAACTACTGAACAATCTCTCTAAACCCTAAACTCACACTTCTTAAATTTAGCAGATGAAATGATGTTTTGAGTAACCTATATGAAACAGCCTTATGGAATTTTATCAACTGTTTTGTGACATAAACCAATGGGTGGGATCATTTCAGAGCTTTGAATGAATCCTTCCAACTCTGTTCCCAATATTCCTACTGTAAGTAGATGACAGTGTTGAAGCAGGCCCTTACTCTACAGCTTCCCCATGTGACATACATGGTTTAGGAGCGAGAGGTTGGAAGGCATCTCCAGAATCCAAACTTGCAGCTCAGCAGTTCCCCTCTGCTGTGGACACCCTTTGCTCATGCATTTCAAAGGCAACTTTCAGTGGTTTGCTATCCCAGGATCACAATGTGCAATTGTGATTGGACACTAGGATAGAACTAATGTAGTGCAGAACGAGGAGTTCCTCTCTTTCCAGATCCCTTCTTCATGACATTCTCTTAAATCTGACTGTAACAGAAAGTCTTGGTAGTAAAGACAGGAGTAGGTCAGGCCATCCACATCCAAGGTACTACCCTCCTGTGTAGACCTGTGTAGACCTGCCTGGATGTGAAACGGCTGTGTAACCAAGGCTCCTGGAACGTGCAGAAATTCATCTCTGCCCATGAGTTCTGTAGTCACAGGAGAGCAACCCCACATCTGACTCAAGAAAGGCTGTAAAACTGAGGAGTCCAAAATTGATTTTATTCATAAAAATACTCATTATACTCAATAGGAACTTTAGAAAGGCTAGTCAGTACATACAGGGTAGAGCCTTAGCCAACTATTAAAACAACAAGAATAAATTATTTAAAAACCAACAACAAAATTTAAACCAAAGCAAAGAAAAAATATCCAAACAAATGAAAACCAAACCCAAACCAGAACCCTTGCTCCAATTTAGCTAAAAATAATCTCTAGCTCTAGATCCAAAAAATCAATCGGGAGCATCTGGCTCCCTAAAGACACCAAAGGTGACCAACCCTCCTCTATAGACCCTTTCTCAGGACTGACATGCCAGTCCAGGACGTGAAACTGGAGAATCCCCTGACATTTCCTTTATGGATGATCAATGATTAACACAGGTGAGGGATGCTGTAGTCTCTGTACTGCGTTATCTTCACCAACACTTTCCCGTGACATGGAGTATCCCTCAGCACTCACAGGAGAGGGAATCCTGTTCTTTTCCCTGTGGTGTGTACAGATTACAGCATGGCATCAGTACAGTCTTTCTCGTGAGAGTGCTCACCACATATGGAGGGCTCAGCCGGCTTACTAAAGACATGGAGAGTAAACTGACAGAGGAAGCCTTGCTCAGCAGCATATCCTCTCCATGCTGCTGTGTGCTACTCAGGGTCCACCTGCTGACCGATGTCGGGATTTGGAGTCATTCTTGGTGGGTCCTCTGAATGTCAGGCTTCTTTCTCATCATTTCCCTTCTCCAGGAATAGTGGGCCAACAGAACATGAATCAGATTGGCGATGGATCCGCTGCAGGAGGTGGAGATTTTTCTTACTCGTTTGTTCACAGCTACAAGGAGGGGTCTGCTTCTCAGTAGGTGTTGCTGCTCAAGTGGAGAATGTGTGAAGCTTCCTTCAGCCTCCTCAGTTCTCCAAAGCAGAGCTGTCAGAGAAGGAAAGGCAATCAGATGCATAGGAAGCCTCATTGGACCACAGCCTAGACAAAACCAGGCCCTGTGCACACATGGGAAACAAACATCAAGGAAGAAAACCCACCCCATGAATGCCAAGGTTGCAGGGGACAGGAGTCAATGGTGGCTCATTGGCATGGCACACACACGGCTTCTGCTGCAGCAGGTCTGTCTGCAGGAGGCTTTCATCCTGGACTGTGGCCAGATCATGCTGGAGGTTTTCATATTAGGGGAGGAAAACAGCTGAGACACATGTCTGTTAAGGACCTACCCTGTCAGCTTTTGAGCTCTCACCAACTCTACTCAACTGGGAAATCCAGCATTACATTTGAGCTGGGCTCATTCACTCCTTGCTTCTTCAAGGATAAGACAGCACCTGAGTTTCTTTTTTTCTCCACCTTTAAAACTGCTAGAAAGTGAGCTGAGAAATACACACTGTGGTGAACTAGAAAAACAGCCCATTACTTCAATAGCTTAGATACATTCTTTTGAAAAAAAAAAAATAAAACAGCAGTATAGCAATGTCTGGGTCACAGGCCTTGACCAGATGCCAGGAAACTGTGAGCAACTTGGGAAATTAACTGTATGAGGCCCTCAAGAGGAGCAAACACAACACTGCAATGAAGGCTGGGCTTATTCCTTCAGCACAGAAACTTCCTTGGATTCAACATGTCAAACTCTAAATGTGATTTTAATTCCAGAGAAACCTTCTTACAGGAAACAGATGCAAACTGCAGAGAACTCATAATCAATAAGAAGGTGCTGTATGCTAATCTGCCCAAGTGAAGGAATTTGTCTCTAAAGGTGATACTCCTGGAGGAAAATAAAGTGGCAGGAGGAGACACCGTCTTCCACAATTAACACTGCCTCTATTAGGTCTGGGACTACCATAGGAAGGATCAATGCACTCAGAACACACGAGAGCACTCAGAATTGAAGAAGTGCACACAATTGAGAAAGATTAAGGATAACACATATTGCTTCCTGTGCAGACATTTCTGTTGACTGAGCCAGCCCAGTACTCTCAGATGTTCTTTCCCTGGCTGTGACTGAAAGTCATGCAAATGTCCAGGAACCCAAATAGGACAGAGATTCAGGTACTGGGGAACTACTTGATATAACTCCCTCTGCGTGGCCTGCGATCCTACCTCATCTGGGAGACAGCGAAGGGATTCTGCAGCTTTTCTGCGAATTCTATATATTTGGTGACCAGATCCCTCAGCTTCAGCAGGGATTGTCGTCTTTCCACCAATATATCCTGTTTCTGTTCATTAGAAGATTATGTTCTTAGTGGAGGGTTGAACACTCAAATGCACACACACACACACACACACACACACACACACACACTCCTCAACGCACACACACACATACTCCTCAACGCACACTTCTGGATATACATGTACAAGAACATACACATTCAGCAAAATAACAAGAATTAATCATTTGCTATTTCTCTGTATCAATGGTTTCATTTCCTTAATAAAAATACACAGAATGACAGAATGGATGCAGAAACAGGATCCATTTTTCTTCTGCATACAAGAAACAAACTTCAACATCAATTATAGACATTACCTCTGGGTAAAGAATTGGAAAAAAAATCTTCCAAGCAAATGTACTTAAAGACAAGCTGGTGTAGCTATTTTAATACCTAACAAAATCGACCTCAAACCAAAATTAATCAAAAGACATGGGGAAGGACACACCACAAAGATAACATTTTAATTTTTTTAAAAATTTTTTCGAGACATGGTTTGTCCATAACTTTGGAGTTTATCCTGGAACTAGCTCTTGTAGACTAGGCCTGCCTTGAGTACAAGGAGATCTGCTTCCCTCTGTTTTTCAAGACCTGGGATTAAAAGTCTGCAGCAGCACCACCTGGCCCTCATTTCAATTCTTAACATCTATGCCCTAAGTAAATTTTTAAGATAAACATTACTATAGCTTAAAACACATATTGATTTCCACATGCTAATATGGAAATTATTACCAATAATAACTTCAGTCTCACCAATGTGCATGTCATCAGTGTGCAGGTCACGCAGACAAAATTAATAAACTCTGCATTAACTGAAGTTTTAAACCAAATAAACCTAACAGATATTTATCAGACAATTAGAGAATACAACTGTATATCAACAACTAAAGAAAGGAAAGCATATATAAGTTTATGGAAATTGAAGATCTCTATATTGAATGAAAAGTGGACCAAAAAATAAAGAAAGAAAGAAATTAAAGAGTTTCTAGAATTCAATGAAAATGAATACATAACCTACGCAAACGTATGGGACACAATGAAAGTAGTGCTAAGAGCACTGAGTGCCTACATTAAAAAATGGGAATATATCATACTTAATAGTAACACCTCAAAGCTATTGAACAAAAGGAAATATGTCCAAGAGGATTAGACCAGAAGAAATAATCAAACTGACAGCTAAACCAATAAAATAGAAATAAAGATAATTGTACAAAAATAAGTGAAAGAAAGAATTGGTTCTTTGAGAAAATCAACAAGATAGATAAACCCTCATCCAAGCTAAATAAAGATGGGCAAAGAATATCCCAATTAATAAAATCAGAAACTGTATGGGGACATAACAACGGATACTGAGGAAATCCAGAGAATCACAAGGACATACTTTAAATCAAGTACTTCATCAAACTGGATTATCTATAAGAAATGAATAATTTTCTCAATAGGAATCATTTATCAAAGTTAAATTAAAATCAGATAAGTAAATAGACCTACATTCCCCAGTGAAATAGAAGCCATTGTTAAAAGCCTCCCTCCACCCCATAAAAAAAAAAAAAACGCAGGGTCAAATGGCTATCGCACAGAATTCTACCATACTTTAAAAGAATAGTTAATGGCAATACTCCTCAAATTAGTTTGCAAAATAAACACAGAAGAAACAGTGCCCAAATCATTTTATGAGGTCGCAGTTACCTTGATACCCAAACCACAGAAAGACTCAACGAAGATACTTACAGACCAATTTCCTTATGGACATAGATGAAAAAGTACTCAATAAAATACTTGCAAATAAATCCAAGAATATTTCAAAAAGATCATCTATTATGATCAAGCAGTCTTTAACCTAGAGATGTAGGGATAGTTCAGCATATGAAAATTAGTCAATGTAATCTACCATATAAAATGAAGAAAAAACATATGGTGATCATCTTACTAGATACAAAAAAATCTTTGACCCTTTCATGAAGAAAGACCTCAACACAAAAACAGACAGGAGAGAATATAAGGAATAGCTGGAACATGCCAGCAAAGGAGATGATTTCTGAAGAGAACACTGGCACTAAGATCAACAATTAATAAAGGACCTCAGGGAACGTAAAGGCAAGGAACACCATGAGTAGGAGAAAATAGAGGTTTAATGAATGGGAAATGATTTTCATCAACTTGCATCAGACAGAGGGCTAATATCCAAAATATACAAATCATTCAATAGACTAGACATCAACCATCCAAATCGTTCAATTATGAAACGTGGTACAGATAGAAACAGAAAAAAAAAGAAGAATCACAAATAGCTGAGAAACATTTAAAGAAATGTTCATCATTCCTACCCTTCAGGGGAATTTGAACCAAAAACTCCTTTGAGATTCCACCTTACACCTGTCAGAATGGCTAAGATCAATGGCACGAATGACAGCTTATGGTGGTGTGGATTTGTAGCAAAGGAAACACTCCTCCATTTCTAGTGGGAGTCCAGAGTTGTCCAGCCTCTATGGCATCAACATGGCGATTCCTCAGAAAATTGGGAACTGATTTACCTCAAAATCTAGGTACACCGTTCTTGGACATATATCTAAAGGATGCTCTATCCTATCACAAGAACACTTGCTCAAATACCTTCACTCTGGCTTTATTCATAATAACCAGAAACTGGAAACAACCTTGATGTCCCTCAATGAAAGAATGGATAAAGAACGGGCAGTACATTTACAGAAGAGGATATTACTTGGCTGTGTGAAAAGTGATATCCAATTGCTATTATAAGCAAATGGGTGGAGCTAGAAAAAACACATGCCGACAGAGATATCTGAGATCCTGAAAAACACGTATTATATGTATTTACTTATAAGTGGGCATCAGTGGTTAAGTAATTGATAATAAAGCCACTGTCTTCAACCCAGAAAAATTAGGTAAAGAGAAGGTCACTAGAAGAAACAGAAGAATTTCCCTGGGAAAAGAAAATCGATTAGATTTTGCCAGTAAACTTTGGTTGGGTGGGGAGGGAATTGAAAGGGATCCTGTAGGGGGGAGGGATGGAGGGAGAGAGTGTGGAGAGAGAGTGTTGGAGTTGGGAGGCTCCCAGAGGCTGCTTCCAGTGCTGAGACTGGATTGCATTCAGTTGAATATTTGGCTGGAGGGGATTCTGTGGAGATCCCTATACAGCTCCGGCTCATGCTAGGACAGTGTGTTGCTCTCTGAAAACTAACAGTGGGGTGGTATTCTTGTGGACAACATCTACACATGATTGAACCTAGAGAGAGCAAGCAGTTGCCTGCGTGGAGCCTTCACCCATATGCTCTAGTCTCTTTGGCATGGGATGATACTCTGCAGGTTACAGAAAGAGAAACATGACATCAACTCAGCCACAAAAACCTTGACTTACAGTCTGTCCTCCCTGCAAGTTATGCTGGGGCACTGTTGGTGCAGAACTTGAGAGAGTGGCCATACAATGTCTGGCTTAACTTGAGGCTCATGCAAGGTGAGGCAGTCCATGCCCTATAATCCCTGGATGGCTAAAATCTGTTGTCCAAATAGCCCAGAGACATAGCACAGAAGCAAACATAACTAAAAAAAATCAATGATCTGATTACTAATATTCCTATCAATGTTCTGCTATACTCATAGATTGGTGCCTTGCTGGTCCTCATCAGAGATTATTTCTCTAGCAGTAGTTGTGTGGAAGTGAGTATATGAATTCGAACTTTCTATCAGTCCTACCCATTGGAGCTCAGGAAAACTTTCAGAAGAAATGGGGGTGGGGGGATTTTAGGAGTAAGCGGGAATGATGGGCTGGAGGGCACTAGGAGAACATGGCCCACTGAATCAAGTAAACAGGGCTCACATAGGCTCACAGAGTTATGTATGGGGCCTGCATGGGTCTGCACCATGTTCTGTGCATATATGTTGGTGTTTTGGTGGGACTCTTAATAGTGGGAGTGGGTGTGGTGTGTCTCTGACTCTTTTGTCTGCTCTTGGGAAGCCTTTCCACCTATTGTGAAGCTTTTTCCAGCCTCTGTATGAAGGCCTTTTTCTTGTTTTGTCATGCTTGCCTGTTCTTTTCTGGAAAGAAAACAAAGGGTAGCAGATCTGGAAAAAGAGAGGTTTATAGGAGCTGAGAGAAGTGGCAGTAGAGAAAACTATGGTATGTGAGAATAATTTATTGTCAATAAAAGGAAATATTCAGTCAATAAAATAATGTGAATCGTTGAAGAGTTACAACACTTTAATACAGAGTTATTACCTGTGTAATCTCTACCCAAAAAAAGAGTTTAAAATTTTCTTCCTCTAAAATATTAACAAGGAGCAGGAATCCCTATGATTCGATGGCATATAATATTTTTCACTTATAGCTGGGATTCATAGGCCATGGCTAGAGTGAAGGAGGTAAAATTGCCTTTTCTGTGAAGTGTAAAATTTATGGACAGATCCTTAGTAAGGGTTAGATTCTGCCTCCTGCAGGAAAATCCTCTGCTCCTGGAAGTCTCAAACGCAATGAGAGCTGGAGGGTTGCACCGAGCAGACACCAGCTATAATGTAAGAGATGAATTAAAGGTAATAACTTCATCAGTTCCTTCAGGACAGACATCTTATCTGTTTGCTGCAGGTATAGCTTAATTCCTGGCATTTATGGGACTCCCAACATAGACTCTTGAATGGTTAAATGAATGAAAGCTACCTTTATGTTATTCGTCTTAAAGCTACCTGTCTACTAATGATAAAGCATCTTAAATTATATTTACACCAATGCTTTTGAGATGACTATAATTTAGCATCTATGTCTTAAAAACACAAATGTAAGCCCGGCGGTGGTGGCACAAGCCATTAATCCCAGCACTCGGGAGGCAGAGGCAGGCGGATCTCTGTGAGTTCGAGACCAGCCTAATCTACAAGAGCTAGTTCCAGGACAGGCTCCAAAACCACAGAGAAACCCTGTCTCGAGAAAACCAGAAAAAAAAAAAAGCACAAACGTATAATCTACTGACCTTGGACATTTGGTTTAACCATAAATTTAAATTTAAGTATTTAGACTAAGTTTGAGCTTGTGATGCAAACCCTTAATCCTAGCTACTCAGAGACTGAGACAGAAGGACTGAACATTAAAGTCTGGACTGAACTCCACTGTGAGTTCAAAGCTAATCTTTGGAATGTACTGTGATCATATCTCAAGACTTTAAAAGGATTTGGTGATATATCTCATTGTTAGAATGTGTAACAAACATGAGCAAAGCCCAGGTTTAATGTTATTTTAATAATTAGATCAAATAACCATGGGAGAACTGCTATTTTCTGAAGGGAAATTAAGGAGGAGTGGACCTGGGGTCCGGGGAGCAGGGGGTGAATGACTGGGAGGAGGGAAGGAGGTTGAACTGATGAAACATGAGAGAAGATAAAAAATGTAGACAAGAACCACCCCTTTGACATTTACACGGGGATTTCCTCCTTCAAAGCTGTTTCCAGCCATTGATCTCACAAGATGCTAAATCCTTAGAAAGTCTTGGAATAATCACAGAAATCAACAATTGGACAGGATGTTAGTGAGCTACTGGAAAAGTGGGTGGATGATCACGTGTGTGTGTGTGTGTGTGTGTGTGTGTGTGTGTGTGTGTGTGTGTATTACTACTGATGGTGGACAGCCTGCCCACCTTGCTGCAGCCTACCTTATCCCCCTCGTCACATAGCTCACAGAACTTCTCATCGGTCTTTTCATAGAGATTCTTCACCTTCTCACAGGCCACTTGCAGTGAAATCTGCTCCCTCCGTAGCTTTTGGTTCTCCTCTCTCAACATGCTCACTTTTTTCTTCAGCTGAGTTCGCTCACTCAGGAGCTGGTTGTGGAGGATGCTGAACCATCACAAAAACAACATGAGACCTACCTAGCCTCCATCTCCCACATCACCCATGCAAACTCCCATGTCCCCAGACAGTCCTAGACCAGAGCCCACAGTCACCATGCCAGGATACCCTAGTGGCTGTCAAATGTCAGAGAATGGCCAAATTACAGAAAGACTCAGACTGCTTTTGAAAACTGTTACAATAAAAGAAATGCATGTACTTCTGAGAGCAGGGTTTGCCTCCTACCACATGTACTTAACTGTCCATGGTACTGGGAAAGCATCAGCAGGTCGAGAGGTAGAAGACAAACATTCTGTGAGGGAGGACAGCAGACCCAATTGAAATATATTCTATGTATGGGTAGAATGGGATCACCTCTGTAAACCCCTACCAGAGCCCCCAAGACCCACAAATGCCTGACACCTTTATCATGGTACAAATAGATTTTCTATCTAGAGGCTGCTGAGGCTGGCAGGACAATGTTGTGATGGGCTCACAGATACTTCAGTCTTCGCAAAACTAGTCCAGTAGGTCCAAGTCAAGAGCATAAGACAGAATGCTTTTTATAGGGAGACAGGCCAAAAGGAAAGTCCTCACTTTGGGTCAAAGACAAAAACATGGCAAAAGCAGTCACTGCCAAGGAATAGAGTCCCAGTGAAGGCAGTCACTCACCTGTAAGAGACAGCTTCCTCAGTCAGCTCCTTGCACTTGTACAAGGCCTCTCTCATCTCCATGGGGAATTTCTGTAGATCCAACATCACTTTCTTATGCTCCATATTCAGCATCTCCAACTCAAAATTTAGCCTGTATTAGGGCATAGCCCCAGAGAAAAGAACCCCGTGAATTCTGGCCTTAATGATCCTATGATTTCAGGCTGTGCCCTGAACACCCAGCACAGTCAATGTCACATTCTGAGAGCTATGAACCAGGACAACCTGGTGCTGTTTAAACTTGCTGACGTGACCCCAGACCAGCAATCAGGGGTGCAAAGGGAGTGATTCAGAGTTGCATGAGTTCCATTAATGGGCCTGGAGGAATAGAATAGTTAAGTCCTGGGGAGCCTGTGTCACAAGTCTGATCCCACCAGAAATCTATGATAACGTTGTTCCCATCTTCAGAACGGGGATTTTTGATCCCAGGTTCCTATTGCTACTGGATGTCTAAAGCACAAAATCAGTGTCTCCAGCAAGCAGACCTGACTTAAGGATAGATATATAAGTCTCCAGTGGATTCCAATGGGTTGCCAAGGTGAGCACACGGGCCAGGAGCACCATCACTGGTCATAGTGGAGTTCACTGACCCTAAGGGAACTTAGTGGGATCACCTGGAAACTGTGGCACAGAAAGAACCACATGCCACAGACCCCCAACTGCTAGGACACACACACACACACACACATACACACACACACACACACACGCACACACACGGAGGATGCCAAATAAATGTAGGCAGGCAGAATTATCTCAGAATATAAGAAACCAGACTAGAGAGGAGCAGTGAGGAAGTTCAGACCTCAAGTCACACACTGAGATGCACCAAGACGACTAGGCCCCTGCAGCTGCTCCCAGGAGCAGCCAGTACTCAAGCACCTGCTGGTTAAGCACAAAGACTCACCATAAACTCACAGCACCTAGCATCGTCCACAAGCCAACACCTGTCAAGGCCTCATGAAATGTATGCTGAGAGCTCACAAACTATTGCCCCATCCCCAGACTGATCCAGGCCACAGGCTCTGCTTTTCATTTAGAGGAATCACACAGCCTGTGTCCTGATATCACTCCTTCCCAGATTTCAGCTATGCCTCTCAGATGCCCTCAGGATATTTAGTTTAGGCAGAACACTCTGGAGGTGCAGCCTCCAGTGACCTGAGGAATGCTGGGGTTGACTCGGTAGGGTCAAGACAGTTACCCAGGAACTAGACAAAATGGCTACCTGTTGTTCAAATCCTTGTTGGTATAATTAGCCAGGATTCCACGAAGTTCATTCCTTTCTTGGGTCATCATCTGAAGCTGCAGGGTCAGTGTAGCCACCTTGTTCATCCGCTGCTCCTGCCCAGTAACAGAGTTTGGGGTTGATGTTTTTCCGGTACTCCCTGCAGGTAGATAAATATTAGTGAATTTATGCAGTAGTATGGCACAGGACCAGGTGAGATCATGTTGAGTTCGAACAAGAGGCCAAGGAATAGTGACTGCATGGAACACAGTGAAGGATCAGGACAACTCCTCAAACTGGGAGCCCATAAGCTATGCCTCTGTCTCCACTCACTGTGGCTAGCTATGTGTATCAGCCCCTACTGCTGCCCCACTGGCCCTGGAAGGCATATGTCACCCAGCCATGCTGCTTTGGAAATATCAACTCATTTCTGATGTGATACAGAAAATTCCTGGGGTCTCCAGTGCTTAGAGACTCTCAGTCTCTTTGTGTGGCCTGGAATAGAAGTAACTGAATGTCTGAGACCCTGGTGCATAGATGGGGAATTTCCCATGAGATACTCACAGAACCTAAAGAAATCACTGATAATGAGTTGTAGCAACTCATCACACCACATTAGTCTGTGCCTCCTGCTGGTATTTGCCACTCAAAATAAAATTAAGGAACTCATAGAACAGCAGCTGTAACCTTGACAACTCCTAGATCTCTGCCAAACTAACTAGCAGCAATCCTTGACTATGGATCTGCACTTTAGTAACCCAGAGAAGCAACATAGAACCATCTCTTCCAAGATTCCAGCTACTAAACCCCATTTCTGTAAGGTCCAACTCAACCCCCAACATCCTCCTTCGAAAGTCAGATCTCTCTGCCAACCAGTGTGCTCAATCTTGCCATTGTCTCTTCTCGTGAACCCTATATGCACGTAATTGATGTGGGAGTAATTTGTTATTAATAAAGAAACTGCCTAGACCCATTTGATAGACCAACCCTTAGGTAGGCAGAGAAAACAGAACAGAATGCTGGGAGAAAGAAGCTGAATCAGGAGTCGCCATGATTCTCCCACTCCAGGCAGACGCAGGTTAAGATCATTCCTGGTAAGCCAGCTTGTGGGCTACACAGATTAATAGAAATGGGTTAGATCGATATGTAAGAGCTAGCCAATAAGAAACTGAAACTAAAGGGTCAGGCAGTGTTCAAAAAAATAAAAGACTATAATTTTAGTCTTATAGTACCACTAAAATCTTCTGATTGTAGGTGGGATATACATTAATAATTGCTTTATTAGACCAGAAATTGTGACACATACTTTTAATCCCAGCCCTCGGAAGGCAGAGGCAGGCAGACCTCTGTGAGTTTGAGGCCATCTGGTCTACAAGTGCTAGTTCCAGGATAGGCTCAAATCTACAAAGAAACCCTTTCTTGAGAAGAACAATAAAGAATTGCTTTATTAAATTAAACTTACCATGGTACAGTGAATATAGAGGCAACACAAATTGGACATCATAGTTTTTTTTTTCTCTTATTGAGGAATGTCATAAGGAAGTAGGGATAGACATGGGAATATGGGGAAGTGATGTCATCAAGTACATTATGTGAAACCTCCAAATAATCAATAAAAATATTGTGTGGGTAAAAACAAAAAAACAAAAAAAAATACAGTTTCCGTGTAATTATTTCAGGTAAAGCTAGCCTTGTGGGCGGCCGGGTGCCAGGGACGCAGCCCCGCTGCTCCTATTTCCACACATAATGAGTGCCCCAAGAACACAACACTGTTGCTTTCAAAAAGAGATGCCAACGACTCTTTACGATACAGCAGAATGTCCAGAGAACGGACTGTTAGGGTCACTCCCAACTGCCATCACTTATCTCATAACTGTCTCTTCCCCAGTTCACCAAAAGCCAAGCTGGCTTTTTCAGGTGCCTTCCCTGAGACACAGGGGACGCTCGTCAGCAGCTCTCTGATAGTTAGACTCTATTTAATTATAATTTAATACTTCATCATTTATGGAGGTCAAGACTCATTTTCTAAACATTCCCAAGGAACGGCTCTTCACCTCCTAATCAAAAAGATGGGAAGTGAAGGATAATAAGAAATTAGCTCATGTTGATGTGGAATGAAGTTCAGTTTCATGAAGTGAATGAGTACCTCAGGAAATATCCACAGCGCTGTTACAATGTGTAGGGGTGATGGGGTCTGTGGGTGACCCATCAGACCAAAGATGAGTCACATGGGTAATGATGAAAATTTCCCCCAAACTTCAGCAGAATACATTCCATTCATAATGATGTTAGCAAAAGTGAGATCACCTAGTGACAGGACAGGCTGGAGACAACTAAGGGCATCCACAGGTGAGCCCTCACTCACTAAGAACAGACACTTGCAGGGAGAGTGATGGCTCATTCCTGCACTCAAGTTAAAGATAAAGTCAAGTTAAAGATGACTGGCTATTGAGATTCAGGAACTCAGAAACCTTAGGGGTCACTGACATGCAGCAATACCAATGGTTCCTACCCTGCAAGTGGATGTGAGGTAAAATTTGAGATCCTCCAGCTTTGGCCAGAGGATTTTACTCTCCCTGTTATTAGTGACCCACAACCAAAAGAAATCCAGTGTGGGTGAAGCTCAGTGCTGTAACTGAAACCTCATTCATCCCTCTCTCCTTCCTTCCACTCAGAGTCAAAGCAGAGGGCCCTAGCACAGCAGCTGCAGGGTTGACCATTACTGGCTCTCTGCCAATCTAAGCATCAGAAACCCTAAACTCCAGGTCTAACTCTTTAGTAACAGAGAGAAGCAGGATAGATTCATTACCTCCACGAAGCTCTAAGATCCTGTGACTCACTATGAAAAACCAAGCTGAGGCCTTCCACCATCAAGAAACTCCCCACTCCCTCCCCAGGACTCACTGCGTTTTCCCCAGAACCATTTATGTCTTGATGTGCAACACTGAGGTTGAAGGCCAGCTTCCTTCTGCCTCCCTCTAGTCTCGTTATGCTCTCCTTTCTGTCTCCCAAGGAGCCTGCTCAGTCTTGCCAACATGGCTACGTCCAAAACCCGCAGGCAATGAACAGATGCCCCACAGGCAGTTGGTGTTGCCACAACACTGATGACATCACAGAGAATCAGGGCTCTCCAGGATACAATAGAATGTCCAGGGAGGGGTCTGCTGCTGTCCATGGTACAGCCTAACCTCTGACTCATTTCCTCACTCCAAAATGACCTTAAACCAAGCAGCCATATCAGGAGCCTCTCTGGGGTCAAAAAGGGAAAAGGAAGCTCTTATACAGGTAGTAATAAAAAATTTCCCCTGGAGAATCAGCAGAGCTCACTCAGGCTTGAAGGTTGTGAGTGAAGATGTAATTCACTCTTGACGTGTCTGGTTGGAGTCACATGAGGCCAGATGATCCCTCAGATATTTAGAAAAAACAGTCCTAGAAACAATATGATGGTCCAAATCTTGAATCAATATACTGAGGCAAGAGCAGTGACAAGTCAGAGGTCTGTCGGGGCTGTGTAGATGCACCCTAAGTTGGAAACACACATGCACACACATACAGATAGAAGAGGCACACAGTCATGGGATAGAATATGATGTACATCACTGCTATGGTCCTTCTATCAGCAAACAAAAGCCAAATTCCTTGGCCTAGAGCCAGGTGTAATGATATATGTGCTTGTTAATGGCTTTGGGTACAATACCCATTAGGAGATCATGAGAAGGACAGGCATTTGGAGAGGCTTGGGGTTATTAAATCAAAGAGTTTGGTGATAGCCTAACCTCAAATTTCTATTTCTGACAGTTCTTGTAAAGAGGATCCAGCCCATCGTTAGGCTGAAATTCATTTTCTCCAGATCTCTGGACTTTCTCAACAGAAGCATGTTCCTTAGAACTTAGGCCTGATGAGGTCTGTCAGGTAATCTGTGCCATTTCAGCAGGAAGCCCTAAGCAGGTGAATGTGATTAGCAACTTTTTTTCTAAATAGGGTCTTGGAGAGACCAACAAGTTGAGAACCATACATCTGGCAAAACTGGTATGAAAAAGTTTCATGAACATACAGAGTGGTGCTGTGGTAACGAAGCAGAAGTGAGAAGTGAGATACAGAGAGAGAGAGAGAGAGAGAGAGAGAGAGAGAGAGAGAGAGAGAGAGAGAATATGGTTTGCAAATCAATCTGAGATGTGACAAGATCTAGAAAACAAGGTATAATGGATTACCAGCAAATTCCAGCAACTAAGAAAGAGGCCTGTGTAGGGGAAACCCAGCCCAAGGTGTGTGTTAGCCTTGGGCTAATGTTTAGGTATAAATCTGGCAGGTGTGAGCCCCGCTGGTCCCTTTTTGTACTTCCTGTTCACTGGATCCCTAGTGTTGTAAGCTATTCCCTCATTAAAGTTTACTATTTCACATTAAGCTAGCCTGGTTATTATGCCACACAGCTTGGCCTTTTCAATAATTAATTGTGAGATATCACACTTCCATGAACACACTTCTCCAACTCAGGAGATATACTTATCCACCCCAGCCAAATATGCACAAAACCATTCTGCATGTGCCTGCCTCTAATCTCACCAGTCTCCCACACAAATAGTCTTCACTCTCTTCCAAATGACCTGAGATTCAGTTGACAGGTGACTGCCCCTATGACCTACAATGTTTTCTCTCGACCCACCCATGGAATCTGGAAGGTGCTCATGAAATGAACTGAGAGATAAGACTTTGCCTACCTGATACTCAAAATGCAGCCGTGAGATTCTCAATCTCTGGATGAAAACCCTAAACCATCCCTCTGCAGGAAAGGGAGTCTTGCTGTCAGCTAGTTTTTCTTCTTCCCTTTACATTCTTCAGAAATCGAGGGGACAGCCTCCTCAAGCCTATTCACAGCGGCACATGGTACAGCTTGGCTTCATAACCCTCAAGTCTCACCTCAAGAAGTCAAAAGAAAATTGACAGATTTCACAAACACTCCCATGGTTGGAGATGCCGAGGTTATCTCTTGTTCACTCTAGCACCTTGCAGGGCCAGAATGTGTTCCCCAGACTAAGCATGTTATCTTCTCTGATATCATCCCAGGACACACAAATCTGGCTGGAAGGAGCCAAGCTTTCTTCTTTTCCATGGTCTCATAAGGCCCATAATATTGTGAGGTAAGTTCACGTATTATCTCTGCATGGACATTTGCCTATCAAAGAAAACTCATGTACCCAAAACATAACTTCTGCTATCTCTGGTTCCACCAGAGTCTTGTTCTAATTCTGCATTCCTTAGTAAATGCAACTTGTGTCTTCTATTGCTTAAAGCTTCCTTTTTTTCCCATAGTACACACCATTGAGAGTTTGGCTAAATCATCAAGAATTGGCTAATACAGCATTCATCATCCATTCACTTTACTTTAAAATTATTGAGGGATGTGCCCTAAAAAAACAAGTCTTTATGTTTCCTGCACCTCCATTTTCTAAAAAGCTTTCAGAGATCTCACTAACAGAATTACCTGCCCACTCCTCTATCAGTCAAAAGGGTCCTTAAGGGTTATATGCATATTTACCATTAAGTCTGCAAATGCTTCATTCTTGATGCTTGCAGCCCTCAACTTGGGCTGAACTTAAGACATACGTCCAGGAATACAATCTCAGAGAAGAATTTAAAACAAAACTATGCATATAAAACTAAATTACTACAATATTTCAAATAAAAATATGAACCTTGTATAAATGATGTTACATATACATATACATGAGCATCTTTCCACATAGTTAGGAACCAGAAATACCTGGAGTGCGTGTACAAAAGTATAAATGTTCATTTATCAGGTGGTTAATGAATGCTGCTCCCATTAGAAATGATAACCTCTGCTGACAGTACAGAGCAACCACTGACCATGGAATATTCTGCAAGGCATAATTCAAAGTACAAATGATGCATCACTGGGACACATTACTCAGATATTTTAGTAAAATTTTTACTGTATGATTGCTCTTGGAGAGTACCCAGGTTGCAGTACACTCAGGCAAATGGGGGCTCACAGCCATCTGTGACTCCAGTTGCAGAAGATATTATGCCCTCTTGTGACCTCTTTGGGCAGTGCAAACATGTGCACCAGAGACATACATTCAGGCAAAACACCAACACCCACACACGTAAAATGAAAGTGAAGAGAGTTTTTAATTGACCCGGATATTATAACCTTCCTGACACACTCATGTACTATTCTAATGTGTAGGTCCATGTGTTATGCATTTTCTGGTAACATGTTTGCTCTTGATGATGTGTAAGACAGGCTCTCCATATGTATTCCTGGCTGTCCTGGAACTCACCATGTAGACTGTGCTGGCCTAAAAATATCCAAATGCTTCTGCATCCCTCATGTTGGGATTACAAGTGTGAATCACCATTCATGCTCCACCTTTTTGGGTAACTTCATTTTATTGTTTTTGTTTTGTCAATGAGACAGAATCTCACTTGATAGCCAAACTATCCTAAATTTCACTATGTTGACTAGGTTGACTTTAAACTTTCAGAGATCTACATGTCTATACCTACCGAGTTCTGGAATTTAAGGCATGAATCATTATGCATGACATGACTTTCCATGTGTTTTTAATAGATGGAGGATGTGGTTGGAGGCTGCTTGTTCAGTCCTGGCTGCCCAGACTATAAAATAATCACTCAGAAACTATATTATTTGTAATACTGTTTGGCCAATAGCTTAAATGTATTTCTGGCTTCTTCTTATATCTTAAATTAACCCATCTCCATTAATCTGTATATGGCCACGTGTTGGTGGCTTACCAGTATGGTCCTGTCTGGTGTCTGTCTCCAGTTGGACTACATGGCTTCTTCCTGACTCAGCCTTCTTTCTACCAGCATTCAGTTTAGTTCTGCCTGCCTACCTTTAATCTGTCTAATCACAGGCCAAAACGGCTTCTTTATTCATTAACCAATAAAAGCATCACACAGACAGAAGGACTTCCCACACCAGGAAGAGAAGCTATATTCATAGAAAAGAATTTCAGTACTATGAACTTAAGCTAGCTAATCCTTTTATTTTCATATATGCTATGATATGGATTCCATTTCCCAATTCAGATTCTCAGAGTTACAGGGAAGTAATACTTCATTTCCATAAATATCACAGGGATTCCTGTAGATTAACCTAAGTTTGGATAAGGTTTTCTATCCTACTAGGCAGAAGAGAAATATATTTTGTATTCTTCTGTTTGATTGTGTTCAGGACTATTAGGCAGTCTGTTCAGTACCCTCAAGAATTGGTTCTGGCCAGGAGGAGGTTCTGTTTCTCACAGAGACACTTCTGTGTGGACTCTTTGAGCACGGTGCTGCTGGGAACCTGAAGTTTCTCTAATACTGAAATGGCAGAGCCTCAAGCACTTAGGAAGTGAGTGATTATTCAGACATTCGCTTCAAATGACTCGTGCTCTTAATTAAAGCTCTCCCTAGGTGTAAGAATTTTTGATTGAAGAGCTGTTGAAGATTGTTGTGATAGAAAAGAATTTGCAACATTATTGACATTTTAAGGTTTCTCACCAGTATGGATTCTGTGATGTCTTTGAATATTAGAGAACTTGGTAAAGGTCTTGCCACATTCTTGACATCTGTAAGGTTTCTACCAGTATGGATTCTCTGGAGAGCTTTAAGATTTGGATGATGGGTAAATGACTTGCCACAATCTTTGCATTTGAATGCCTTCTCTTTGGGATTAAATCTCATATTCCTAATGAGGCATGTACATCTTTTAAAGCACTTTCTACATTCCTTATACATGCTTTGTCTCTCTTTGTCTTGATTGTTTCATAATACTTTTCTTGATTCTGGTCATGCTAGACAATTAAGACGTCTGTAGTATAATCAAAAGCCTCTTTAAACTTGTCATATATGTACTGGCTCTTTGACTCAATCATACTACAAGGACATTTGTTCAACTATGTTCATAGCAGCACAAAAGCCAGATCCTGGAAACAATCTAAATGTTCCTCAACTGAAGAATGGATAAAGAAAATGTGCCACATTTACACATTAGAGTAGTACTCAGTTGTAAAAAGCAATGACATCGTGAAATTTGCAGGCAAATGAATGGAACTAGAGAAAACCATCCTGAGTGAAGCAACCTAGACTCAGAAAGTTGAACATGATATTAGTCCCTCATAAGTGGATGTTAGTTGTAAAGCAGAGGATATTGTGCCTACAGTCCATGATCCTAGAGAAGCTAAGTATCAAGGTGAACCCTAAGAAATACAAAGATCCACCTGGAAAGGGGAAAAAAACAAAATTACCTGACAAAAGTTGCAGCATGGGTATGGGGGAAGCAGGGAGGGTGGAAGGTTTAGAGCAGGAGAGGAATGGAGAAGCAGAGGGAGAAAGAAAACTTGAGGGAACAGGATATTGAGATGGAGGAAGAACAGAGATGAGGGCCAGGAAAGAGATACTTTGATTGAGGGAGCCATTATGGGGCTAGCAAGAAAACTGGCTCTAGAGAAATTTTCAGGAATCCAAAAGGATGACCCCAGTTAAGACCTTAAGCAATAGAGAAGGGACCTGAACTAGCCTTGCCCTGCAGTCAGACCGAGAATATTTAAATATCACCATAGAACGAACCTTCATCAGCAACTGATGGATATGGAGGCAAAGACCCACATTGGAGCACTGGACTGAGCTCCCAAAGTCCAGTTGAAGAATGGGAGGACTGAGAATATGAGCAAAGAGGTCAAGACCATGATGGGGACACCCACAGAAACAGTTTACATGAGCTAATTAGAGCTGAACAATGCCGGCAGGACAGGGAAGGAACTAGCATAGGTCCAAACTTTTCCCTCTGAATGTGTTTAACAATTTCATGGCTCGGGAAGACTGCAGGTCCACTGGCATTGGCACCAGGATGTGTCCCTACTGCTTCTACTATCTTTTTTGGAACTTTTTCTCTTTGGATGGATATTCTCTTTGGATAAATAGTTTGCTCAGCCTAGATATAGTAGGGAGGGACTTGGTCCTTCCCCAAAATAATGTGCCTTACTCTCTCTGAGGAGTGGATGGGAGGTGGGCTAGAATGGGTAAGGTGGATAGAATGGAGGAGGTGTAGGAATGGGAACTGGGATTGGTATGTAAAATGAAAAATGATTGTTTTCTTTTAAAATAAAGAACAGAAAGGAAAAGAAAATAAAATTTTAAAAAGTAAGGGCTTTCTGACAATTTTCTGAAGCAGGTCAGAAGCACCACATGTCCCTCCATGGAGGAAAGAGCACCTTCATATCTGAAGACTGGTGAAGGCACACAGAGAGGACATGAGCCAAAAGCCCTCTCTATTTGCATCCACCTGCTTGACTCATACTGGTTTTATTTTATCCCATGCTCTATAATGTTCCACTTTGCATCAACTCTGGTAGAAAATCTCAGGTCTAAGCACTGTTGAAGGCTTCCCTTGCTCAGAAAGGTTCTGGAGTTGTGAAAGCTTGTGCTAGGTAAGTCTTCATGCTTTTCTCTTCTTAAGTTCTGCTATGTCGTGGAGTCCCCAACAGGGACCTAAGATGTGTAGAAGGAAAAGTAGTTTTTGCCTCTGCATTCACTATGTTTCTTCTAAAACTCTTGTAGGTCAAATGATTATGTTTTTCTGTAAAAAATAAAAAAAGTGCTTTCCTCTTCACAAACCTCTTCTATTAGAGACACTATAAAGCTGCTTATCTCTCTTCTAAGGGTATCTTGGAGGTGTATTAATTGGATGCACTTGGCCCTATAAGCTCATATGGATCTTATATTACTAGGGGTGTGCCCTTGTTGGAGCAAGTGTGTCCTTGTTGGGGGATGTATGTCATGATGTGGGAGA